ATAAAGAAGAGAGCGGTGACATTAGCAGGTTTACATGAAGAGCCTGTGATTTTACAGTAAAAAGCTGTGTGATTATTTAATGTTTAAAACTATTTGACACCTTAACTCTAAATATTTTCTGAAAAAAAAAGAAACAAATCGAATCGATATATTACTGTGTAGTGAATATTTCCATGTTTCAGTATTGAGCAGGATAATCATTAGACGTAAACATTGAAATGCAAAGTCACAGTGGAGTAGAATGCTCTCCTCTATGGACCCTGGTGTGTCAGTCAGAAGCTTCCTTACCTCCCACCAGATACACCTTGTTCTCCTTCGCCGTGTCTGACAGCAGCTGGGTGGACTCTCCTGGGATCCTCTCAGCATACTGAGAGAAGAAGCCGGTTCCATACGGAGAATTGAAGCATTCCTGTTAACGTGAGAGAGAGCAGAGAGACGTTAATGATGGACTCAAGACTCACTGAGGACTCCGTTTAAAGTTACTCAGAGGAACTTTCACTGGACTAAAGCTGCAGTGTCTCTGAGCACCAGACTCTTTAGAAAACCTCTCATGTTGCTGCATCAGGGTCTGACAGTCTGCCCCTCTCAGTCCTGGTTCTGGTTCTCCCGTGCCTCCCTTCCCTCCAGCGGGTCCAGCGATACGTCCTGGGTCTCCAGCAGAGAGGAGAAGCACTGCTCCTGGAGGAGGAGGAGATGCTCTCCTCCTCCCTCCAGAGCTCCGGATCTGGGTCTGTCCACGGTGGACCGGTCTCTGCTGTAGTCTGAGCTGAAGGAGGTTCTGGTGAACCTGCATGAGTTCATCTGGTTTCACCAGAATCCGACCCGTGGCTCCGATGACGAGCATCAAGAATAACTCTATAGAAACAGACCATCTTCTCTCTGATGGTCTCTGTACTGATGGAGGTCTGATAGAGGATCAGGACTACACTGAGACTGGTTCACAAGTTCCTTGTAGTAACTTTAAATAGAGAAAACGTGATACAGATGACTAGCAGCCTCTCCTACTCCTCCTCACCGGAAGTAGCACGAGCTGGCTCCCCTGTCCCGCCGCCTCCTTCACGAGCCTCCTTGCTCTGCTCAGGTTGTCCGCTTTGACGCTCGTCACGTGCAGCTGGACCACCGCCAGACGGAATTCTGGGGAAAAAAATAAGACAGTTAGCTCCAACGTTAGCAACAGCGTCAACATTTAGAGCCGTTTACAGCCTGTAGAAAACATTTAAATACAACATTCACTCGGTTTAACGTGTATAGTATTTATCTTCAACTTTGAAATAACTCACAAACATAACTACTTACTGGACATCGCTTTAGATACAGCGGACATGTATGAGCCGTCCAGAGAGCAGACTGGGCACCTGATACCGGATGACCATTTTGTTTTTCAAAATAAGAGCTTGTAATCAGCGCAACGTCATGCAGGTCCGGTAAAACAAAACAAAAAACGATACAAAACAATAATAATGAACTCTTGGAGATGGAAATTAAGTGTTCCTCTATCTTCTAGGCACTCTACGACGAAATAGCGAGAGCTTACGTAAAGCTAACAACCTTTATTGTGAAGTTTAGCGGAGAAGGCACGTCAGCAGGGGAGTGGGGTTTTTGCAGCCAATCAGCGTCAGAGTACATTAGTTTAAAATTAACATACTTGACTAAACATTAACATACTTGATACTTGCAGAGTTGACTCATTGTAAACATGTGAATATACTTCATGTTTACACGACATAGAATTTGCTTTTTTTAACATTTGGACCTATATTTAAATAAATTGAAGCTAAAGACAGAAAGGACTGTAATCACCATATATTCATGTTGCCAGCTGCTGTTTCTTTCAGGAGATATTTGTTCTCTTGGTCAACATTTCAAAACACAGAAATCATCATCTTCCTGTTCCACGTTTATATGTTTACAACAGTGTAAATCTTTTATTGTTGTAGTCAGTGGTGGAGGAAGTACTCAGGTCATTTACTTAAAGGAGACATATCACGCTTAGCATTAGGTTCATACTTGTATTTGGGGGTTCTACAAGAACATGTTTACAGGTTTAATGTAAAAAAACACATTTTTCTTATACTATCTGTCTGAATATACCTGTATATGCACTCTGTCTGAAACGCTCTGTTTTGAACCACAGACACTTATTGGTTTGTGGACTGATGCTTAGAAGCCTCCAGTTCGGCGATTTTGCCGTCGCCATCTTGGATTAAGGCCGTCGCCATATTGTTTATTTTGCAACCAGTGAACAGGAAGTGACCATATTTGGACTGAGGAGGAGTGACGTAGAGACGGTGTGAAACAAATGTAGTAGTAAGTACATTATTTCACTGTGAAATGCCGTAGAGTAGAAGTATAAGGAAGCATATACTCGAAAACTCAAGTACAAGTACCTCAAAACTGTACTATATCCTAACAATTATAAAAATACGAAGACGTTTTCTTGTACAAGTCATTAATTTGTTCTTCCTGTAAAATGATCTGCTTACGTACGCTAGTAACGACCAATAATATCATGACATACATCAATTAATCTGCAACGTAGCATCAAAGGAGGCGTGTCTTTGATTGCACTCAGACGTAAGCCCGCCCACTTTTTAACAGTCCAATCAACTGTAAAGGGTGTGATTTAAATCCCTCTTGTGTCTATACACTCAGATATTCGTCTTCATTTGAGAAAACATCAAAGTACAGAAGATAAAGATCTAACTTTCGTTTCACTACGACTTTAAGTAAATGTACTTTGTTCTAGTATTTGAACGCAGTAGATCTAAAACAGAGGAAACTACCGTCTCTATTGTATTATAATATAACCACTATTCTAATTTACATATACAGTGTGTCCCATAACACAAGAATCACTAAACTTCAACAAGTCGAATAATCTCCATTTATTAAAATCGGAAACGCTTAGAAAATAATAGAAGTACATTAAGGTGCAAATTACACTCGAGACACGTTGCATTTCCACTAGTGGTGACGTCCTCTGCCGGTAACGTAAAGACTCTCGATGGAGGAAGTTCCAGTCAATACTGACAAAATATCACATAACTACAGCACAGTGCATGAATGACATGGGGATGCTACGACAGACCAGAGTGAAGACAGAGCAGATCTATACGGCGGCGTGTCAGGACCAAAGTAGGAGAACAAATGTATTTCAATTTACGGAGGAAGACCACAAGGGAGGGTTGATCTGAGAAAAAATTAACTGGTATATAAAATAAAACTGATATTCTCTGAGATGAAAGAGGTAAATTACCGAGAAAAAAAACCACAAGCAAATTTCTGATGAAAAAAAAATATTTTCAGAATAAAGTGGTAAATTACTGAAAAAAAAATCTCAAATTTCTAAATTTCTATATTCTCCAAAAATAAAGTGTTAAATTAACAAGGAAAAACTCAAATACTCAAAAGTATAAACTTATATTTTCTGAGATGAAATTAGTAAATTTATGAGAAAAAAACTATACTATAGATTTTAGTGGTAAAGAAACTCAAATTTACAAGAAAAAAACATGAATATTCTCTGACATTATAAACCTTCAGAGAGCAAAATATTGTAATTATATTAGAAGTTATTCACTTTCATAAAAGAACAAAAGAAAACGCGTACGCGTATCTTTCAGGACCTTCTCGGTCAGAGGTCGTCTCTACCGTAATAACACGACTTAAGGAGCAACAAAATTCAGACGGCAGCTGACGTTACAACGGTGATGTGGAGATTTTTCCCGTAAATCTGTGACTTTATAATCTCAGAGAATATTCATGTTTTTCTCAGATTATCACCTCTCTCCCTCGGCTTCTTAACTATTTTTTTTTTAAACCTTCAATGGTCCCAAAAGGTTGTCGTAGTTTAAAGTGTCTTAGTCTAAGTTTTAGTTTGTGACGCTCGTATTCTAAATCTAAAAGCTCTCCTCATTCAGTCCGAACAGACAGAAGAGACAACAAACCCTCTCTGGACAGGAGCTTAAACCAAAACCAAATGATTCTGCAAAAACAAAAGCGAGGAAGAAAATAAAGTCAGAAAACAGAGTTTAAGATCAGAAGAGAAAAGCAGCGAATACACGGTGAGATGTTGCCGACATCACACGTCATCACAGGCTCCGAGGCCGAAGGCAACGGTGGAAAACAAACTAAAGCTGCTGAGTTTAGACTAACACAACGGACAGGACAGACTGGATCTGAAAACAATAATATATAAATATACACATAGATGTATATTACAAACAATCTTTCACTCCTTTCAAAGCTCCGTCCTGGTCACAGACACCGTTACTTTCTATGTAGGTGGAAGTTAGCAATGTGTTTTTGGGCATTGACTAATATTATACTGAATCTGATGGTAACAATACTGAGGTGCTCAGGCTGTAAATAACTGAACCAGCGAAGCTCCTGTTGTAACACTAAAGCAGTCCAGAGGAGCTACATCAGACTGCTATGACGTGAGGTTATTCATTATTATACGCGTCTCCCAGACACTCTGTCAAAGGTCTGTGCTGATATGGAGCAACATAACTTCTATTCAAAATCAATGTTATCAAGCCGGCTATGCTGCTATGTTATGTTTGGGATGTTAATGTTTGACTCTTGTTCACTTCATTGAATCTGCTTTAAACACATCTGAGAGGTCAACTAAGAGACTGAGCTGCAACTACGCTCACAACAAACAAAACGAGAACAGAATGGAGACGTTTAAAGTGAGGTTTGTCCTCCACAGTCACGGTTCCACTACAGTAGAGGAGTTTATAGAAACAGACAGGAGAACCAGCACGGGAGCAAAGTAATGTTCTGGACTTTAGTGAATCTGAATCTTTACACCAAAGTCTCTCAACAACACAACCTCAGCAACAGATGGAGGCAGCAGGA